GTGACAAAAAACAAAGGGCCTCAAAAATTTTTTTTTTTTTTTTGGGGGAAAGTTTTTTTTTTTATCCCTTTTTTTTTTTTTTTTTTTTTTTTTTTTTTTCATTTTACAATAGTACACTACTTTTGTGAGCCTGTCACCTACAATTCCAAATAAATACATAATGATAAATAAATCAGAAAAAGTTTAAGAGGAAGGTGTGATCAAATTTAAAATGTATTTATTTTTGTGCGTGTTTGGCTTTTTTGCAGGCTCCCCTGGCTCAGCCAGAGTCTCCTACAGCCTCTGCAGGTGAGGATGTCCAGTCTCTTGCTGAGTCCATGGACTCTGACCGCGAGTCTGTCGGCAGCAACTCAAACATTAACACCGGGAAGCCCAGCAAAGAAAAGGACAAAGACAAGCAGCGCAAGGACAAGAGTCGAACTGACTCTGTAGCTAACAGATTAGGAAGCTTTAGCAAAACGCTCGGTATCAAGCTGAAGAAGAACATGGGAGGTCTGGGAGGACTTGTGCACGGCAAAATGAACAAGTCGAACTCTGGCTCAGGTCGTAATGGGGAAAATGGAGGGGAAAAGGCAAAGAAGAAGGAGTTAAAGGCAACCAAAGGGAGCAAGGAAGATTCAGGCCATTCAACCAGCTCCACTTCCTCCGAGAAAGCCACAAGTCCCTCCCCTACAGATGGAGACAGACCGTCAAGTTCTTCCCCGACTGAGAGACAGGACAGCACGGGGCGAGGCTCGGGGGACAAGTCCTTGGAAAACTGGAAATACAGCACAGATGTCAAGCTTAGCCTCAACATCCTGCGGGCTGCCATGCAGGGGGAGCGCAAGTTCATATTTGCAGGACTGCTGCTGACCAGCCATAGACACCAGTTCCACGAGGAGATGATCAGCTACTATCTGACAAACGCCCAGGAGCGCTTCAGCCAGGAGCAGGAGCAAAAGAGGAAGGAGGCAGAGAAGAAGCCTCCTGCCACTACTGAAGTGTCCTCGAAGAAGCCGGAGCACGAGAGCGTCTTCCAGAGGGAGAGGTCTGACAGCTCTCCTCCGGAGAGCTGCTCTCCCGTCCTGCCTCACCACACCTACAGCAACCCGCAACCGTTGCTCAGTCTCAAGATGCAGGGCAGAAACAGTCCCATTCCTGCAGCCAATCTCTCTACCGTCCAAGTCCCTCCTCTCACCCCTCCGCCGAGCTCGCATCACATCTCCCACCCAGCCCCCGTCTCAGCCCCTGCGCCTTACTCCTCTCCCAGCATCGGTGCTAAGAGACCCGGACCCATCCCTGTGTCTGCCCACTACAGCCATACGCCGCCCATCCAGAGGCACAGCGTCATTCACTTACAAGATGTCAACATGCAATCCTCCATCTTCCAAGATGACCCCTACAAGCCAGTGGTGGGCACCCTCAAGACATGCGCCACCTACCCCCAGCAGAACCGCACGCTCTCCTCCCAGAGCTACAGCCCCGCGCGCCTGTCAGGGGTCCGCACAGTCAACACCATGGACACACTGTCCTACAACATGCCCGGCGAACACAAGTCCCACACGTACACCAACGGATTCAATGCGGGAGACATTCAGGACTGCCTCGAGTTCGCCGACGAGGACAGCGTGCCTCACACCTGGCTCGGTCCAGACAAGACCAAAGGGCGGAGCTCCGGGAGCCCTTTGTACTGCTTTCAGCAGCGCCGCTGCAAAAGGGAGAACTGCTCCTTCTACGGGAGGCCGGAGACGGACAACTACTGCTCCTACTGCTACAGGGAGGAGTTGAAGCGCAGGGAGAGGGAGAGCAAGGTCCAGAGGCCTGTATAGCCATCACCGCTACTTTCAGCATCAACGCAGCCGCAGGACACTTGAGGGAACAACACCATCCGCTCTCCGCATTTGAAAAAAACACAACAAACATAATATCGAGCATTTCCTGGGTTTGTTGAGTAATGCTCGTGCGTTCCTGTCCCCAGTCCCTTGTTACCTCACGACGAGGGAAGCAGAACTTGAAACAGTGAGCAGCTTTGGCCAGATTTTAGTTTCTTTTTTTTTTTTTTTTTCTTAGTTCTTTTTACTTCTGTCCCATCAAATTTAGCCTTTTACTTGTTTTAGAGTAAAAGTTTACCTCTGTGATGTAAATTTATGTGCAAGAAAGCTCTTTATTTTTCAAAGTGCAAAAAGATTTGCATCTCATCAGGAAGGGACATTTTAGCTCTTTTAATCAGTTGAATGCAATACCTCTGCCTGGTTCTCCATGGGATATTTGTAGTTGTTTTGCAATCAAAAGAAGTTTAATGGGGGGTTAATATTAGACTTTAAAGCAATAAATTGGTGATTTTTTGCTACACTCTCTCCCGGTTTTGTCTATGCACCAATAAAATGGATACTGTAGGTTAACTGTGTCTTGTGACTCGTAAAGGAACGTCACAGCGTGCTTTTGTAAACGAATTTGAGATACAGAAATTAAAAACGTGTAAGAGTTTTAGACTGTAATGTTGGATTAGAATGAAGTGTTGAACTCTCATTTGTTTTGTGTACCTTTTGTTTCGGGTTTTTTTTTGTTGTTTTTTTTAGTTTTTTTTTTTTTTTTTGCCATGTTGAAGGGGTTTGCCGTGTCAGAATTGGACTCGAAATATTGTGTGATATCACGTTTTACATTCTTGCACGTATCCTAAAATCCACAAGCACTGCCACGCTGGCTTCTTAACAAAAAAAAAACAACTAATTACAATCAAAATTCTCAACATTTTTCTGTGCCAAACACTTCACAACTGCTTCTCAAATATGCAGTGATTGTGGTGTGTCTCTCTGAGTTGCCTGTCGACCAATCTGCTCCGTAAATGTGTGTAGATGAGACAAACTCTTGAGTCATGACTGCAGGTTGATGTGTGTGTGTTTTTTTTTTTTTTTTTTTTTTTTTTTTTTTTTTTTTTTTTTTTTTGTCTGAAGTGTTATTACGTGTCTCTAGCTCCCCCACACCCCTCCCCTCCTTCCCACGCCCACACAACACGACGTGCAATCATGCTTAACAGCACTACGGTATGTGGTGACCTGCAGGAAAACGGAAAACAAGTCACCGGGTCAGCGTGAGGTTACTGTTCTTCCTCATCCAGAGGCCGGTTCAAAATAAGCACCTGCTGCTACGAGCACCTCAAGCCTTTGTGATCTTCAGTGCTTTAACCAATCAGTGGGATTTTTAAGAGATTTAAAAAAAAAAAGAAAACCTGGGGCCTCTTTAAGTGCTTTCTGCTCATTTGACATGACTACTGTAAAGATGCAGTGTTTGTGTTGCTGTTTGTCCTGGTGACGCTTGGATAATGTGCCATGCTGTCCTTAACAAAGTGTGTCCTGGCCAAGGATGTCCACTGCTCCCTGGGTTTGCTTCTGTCTCTCTCCTGTACACACTGCAGTGTTGCTCCCCTCTGTTTCTCTGTGACCAGTTCATGGACTCCCACCATGTTAGGACTGTAAGATATGATTTTGTATTCCTTTGAGAGTTTTACACTACTTTAAATTATTAATTTGCACATTAGGTACAAATGTAAATATGAAAAAAAAAAAATAGTCTATTGTTACAAACCTGCCGTGTCTGTGTATTATTTATTTTTGAAACGGGTTGGAACTGGTTTGATGGGCGTCCCGATACGTTGATGATGCTCTCCTGTTGATTCTTATCCAAACTCAGCTTTATCAGTCTTTGAAGTTAACCAACGTCAAACAGGCAGACTGCCATAATCTCACATAGTGTCTTGCAAAAGCACTATTTCTAAAATGTTTTCACATTTTGTCCTGTTGCCACCACAAACTTTGATGTGTTTTATGAAGATTTTATATGATAAATTCACACAGCATAGTGCAAATTAAACCATCTGATGAAATGCTTTATACATTTGTATAATGTATAAAGCAAATGTTTATACAAATGTCTTGGGCAGCTTTGCACCTCTAGACTTTTGGCATATTCTCCTTTAGAACATGGCTCAATTTCAAGCAGGCTGAAATCGATCAGTTAACATCAGTTTTAGGCCATTAAGGATAACAACCAAAATCTGCTTTGGGTTGTTATCTTCTGAGGTGAGCCTTGCCACTCTCAATCCATCTGGTTTTGGGATGATGTCCCCATCACCGGGTTTCACCAGGGGGATGGTATGTTTAAACTGATCTGCAATGTTTGTTTTCTACCATATATGGGCACATAGATTTTAGAGTAAAAACTGAAGAAGTACTGCTCTCCATTGACCACTGCTGCATACCCTGCGTAGCTTGTGTCTAACTTTTAGTAAATATGTAATCCCACCTGTAATTTCTGCAGCTCATCAAGATTCACCATATGCTATGACTGATGCTCTTCATACCTGGCCTGTCTGTTTAAAGCATAAATTGACGTTTGATGTTGCAACATGGCAAAATGTGGAAAATTTCATGGATTGTCAGTAGTGTTGTAAGTCATCTTATTAGAGAAACTGGCAGTTTTGGTAAAGGTCGATTTTTCTCAAAATGGACACCCTTGAGCACACTGGGCAATTAACCAAACTGGTTTAAAAAAAAAAAAGGCCACTGCTGGGCTGTTCGATTTGACAAAATATAGAGACCATATCTAGAACCATGCTAAATTACATCACAGGACAAAGGCATATTAAAACATGGAGGGTACAAACACCTAATGTAAGCCGTTTAACACTTTGAGTACCAAAGTTTCTTTTGGTACTCAAAAGAAACTCCTCATAAACTTGTACTCTGCAACATGTTCAGCCTGGCTATTTTAATTGCTGTTTACTTTTAAACACTGCTACCGCTAACTATGGCTGTGCTAGCATCTCTGCTTTCGATCTGTTGAGTTTCTGTATCTCTTTGCCACCAAAAGGAGGGGCTGCAGCTATCCATCAACCTGTGTTTTACGCATTTAGTGATAGCTACGTTTAAAAAAAAAAAACTGTTAAAATGATTCAAGTTTTAAAACTTTAGAAAAGCATAAAACAAAGGAGACTTGTATCTTAATATTGTGGTTAGATATATTTAATTTTATTCATAATAAGACTTTAAAGCTTCAGTTTGGAAAGAACATCCTCAATCATTTCTTAGCACAGGAGTTTTGCTTGGAAGAAAAAAAAAAAGATCTGTTTTTCCTTCTTTTTAAATGACCTGAGCCAGAGTCAGAGGGAGCAGGGGGGGAGATAACTCCTACCAAAATTGCTTTTGGGTTACTGAGATGAGGATCTTCAGTGAGCTGCCAAGTAGGACAGCCTTCCAGGCTCAGAGCTGTAACTGTGCCTTCTTACTCCAGAGACACTTTGTTGCCAGAAGAATCGACATCCTGCTGATAAACTGGTGCTAGCAAAAAGAAAAAAGCAGAAAATGTCTGCAAACACTTTGGTGAGAGGTGTCTTTTAGTTTCTCAGATCATTAAATAAAAGTCAGGTTTTTCTGCATGTGAGCATGTTGGGACAAAATGGCTTTAAACACCCCACAAACTGACTCATGGGATATTCTGAGAGATTTATTTATCATCACAGCAGTGTGGGGCTGAAGTTAATTACGGCTTCATTAAATCTTTTAATGCAGGAAGGGTTGCCGTTTACATGAAACAGTTCTGCGAGACATGTTTCATGCTGTAGCTCTTTCGGAAAGATGAGTCGTGATATAAATCAGTAAATCATTTGCAATCTATGTTTGTGCAGCAGTGTTGAAAACAAAACATAAATTGCTGAAACTAAGAAATGCTTTGAAAACAGCTCTAACCAATTTGAACTGATCCTGGAATTTGAACACACCAAATGACCACAAATGGTCAAAATCGTGTGACTGATGGGTGTATTCGCCTAAAATCTGTGAGTAACTTGCAAAACACCAACACATAATTTGAGCGTAGACATTATTTTGTGGAGGAATTTGGTGTATAAATTCACAATTATATCCAAAAAAACATCAAAAGGGAACATTTTATGTCGGACTCCATTTGCTTTCCTTCCAATTGAAGAGTTAAATGTCAACATGCAGGTGGGAAAAAAAAAAAAAAAACTAAGTTAACAGAGAAGTCAAAGTACATTAAGGCTCCCAAGTGGAATATAAAATTTGATTACAGTGTGGCTTCTCATTATGAAAATGTTTCAAGGTTGTTTCAAACCCGCAACATTTTCCATATTTCTGCAAGCTGAAGAACAATAGCAAATGCAGAACCAACTTCTCATGTTCGTTCAGCGCCTTCTTAATTAAAAACTGAAAGTAAGTTTCAAGCCTCCTGCTCACCCTGTGCCAAATTCTCCAGAATCATCTCCCTCCACAATAAATAATTGCTCCCTTCTTTGTAATTGTTGACTAATACAGCAATCAGTTGCACAGCACACCAAAGAACCGCACGTTTGTTCTTAGTGTGCATTCTCCTGTGCACCACAAACACACCCAGCAACTGTGGAGTCATTTGAGGATTTCTGGAGTTGGGTGGTTTAGGTGCAGGGCATTTTTCAAACAACTGAAACCTTTGTCTGACTGATTCGAGGCAGGTGATGTCTTAATTTCTACATGCATAAAACTGATTTATGAAGTACCTCTAAAATATTTTGCCACCCCTGGAAAATGGGACGTTAAAACATCTCACAGTAATATGTAAGAAAAGCACTTTAGATTTGAGTTTAGACAGTGGAGAGGAGGGGGATCCATGTCAAGAAATAATTGGTTTCTGTAAAATTACCTTGGCCATTCTTACTTTGCTAACAGTATTTACAAATTTAAGTTGTTTTTCCAGCAGCTCTGTGAAAGGCCTTTGAATTTAGAAGGATGTAATCTGGAGAACGAAATACTACCATTAGAAAATATATTTACAAGGGTAATATCATGAAATGGATCTGGATAAGGTAACATATTTGCATGCATAGTATATTGCTGGTGTTTAGAATGTGATCAGGCGAA